TGATTGTTAAATAAAATCCGTCTGCCATTTAGGGCCTCGCCAAGGCTGGAGGTAGCGTTTCCTGTTACTGTGACTCTTGGGGACTGCATGCTTCTATTCTGGAAGCAACCTGTCTGCAGTAGACTTTCTTAGGAGTGACAAAGTCTCAGGCATTTTTGTCTGCACTTGATCTCACCCCCCACCTCCACCCCAACCCCATTCCTTAGACTTTGTGAGGCTCCTCTCAAGCTTGTGTTCCTATGGCTTCCCTAGCATCCTCCTGGGGAAGGACTTGGTTCTGTGTGCCTGGAGCCTCCGCTCACACCACTCTCTGGCCACCGTATGCTGCTTTCTTGTTACTCCCCCCCCCCCCCCCCACACCTCGGTGAGGTAGACTTGGCTTCTGTGTCTATTTCTTTTTTTTGTGTGTGTACGTGTATGTGTGTCTGTGTTTGTCTCTATTTCTAATTTGTCCAACACTATTTGTTCCAATGTGTGCTTCCATGAATTCTTATAGACTGAAGAAATGAACATATACTAAATATATAAACATCTATTGTATATTTAAGATGTATAACATGATATTACAAGGTCTATATAAAGAATAAGGTAAGGAAATTAACATGTATGCATTAACTTTATACAGTTACCCTTACCCTTCGTGTGTGTGTGTGGGGGGGCACTTTTGTGTGTGCCTGTGTTTGTGTGTAAAGGAGCTAAAATTATTCATTCTTGTTGAGCAGGGTGGCCTTTAATCCTAGCTCTAAAGAGGCTAAATCAAAGAGGATCACCACAAGTTTAACACCAGCCTGGTCTAAACAGCAAGTCCCAAGTTCCAGGTGACCTTGGGCTACAGAGGAGGACTCTTTGTCTCCAAACCAAAGAAACAGGGGAACCTTCAGTTCTTCTTCTTCTTCTTCTTCTTCTTCTTCTTCTTCTTCTTCTTCTTCTTCTTCTTCTTCTTCTTCTTCTCCTTCTCCTTCTCCTTCTCCTTCTTCTTCTTCTTCTTCTTCTTCTTCTTTAAAATTTATTTATTTCTTATGTATACAGTGTTCTGTATGCCTGCAGGCCAGAAGAGGACACCAGATCTCATTACAGATGGTTGTGAGCCACCAAGTGGTTGCTGGGACCTCTGAAAGAAGAGCCAGTACTCTTAACTTCTAAACCATCTCTTCAGCACCCCCCCAACACACACACCCCGATTTAGTTCTTAAACACACATCCAATGTCTCTTAAAGCACCTGCATTGGATGAGGAGACAGAAAAAATCTAGAGTGTTTGTTTTTTCAGGTGGTGGCAGGAGGGGCGGGAGCCTGCACGCAGAGTTGTTGTAATTAGCACCTCATTGAAACTTGTCAACTGTCCCAGTGCTTTGCTAAGGCACCTAAGATTAGGTGGTCACAGACAAAAAGATAAGGTGTGCAAAGTGGCAAAGCACTGGAAATTGGTTGCCTGGTGGTGTAAATTACCCAAGTCTGTGGGGCTTAACACAGCCAAGCGATGCTTAGGCAGAAATCTAAGGTCTTTGTCTTCCTGCAGGGCACTCTCGAAGGAGCACAAAGGCCCAGGCTTTGACAGAAGCCCAGGGGACAAAACTTTTGAAAAGTTGTCTTATACATACTAATATATGTCCTGGTTTCCCAAGTGACTTCAGTGTTTTTCACTCATCCTCACAAGAATCACTGTGGGGAATTTTGGTTGTTTGTTTTGTTTTTGTTTTCTGAGACAGGGTTTCTCTGTGTATCCCTGGCTGAGAATCATCTTCAAATGGTGTGTCAGTTCCTTTTGTGTTACCGAGACCAGAACCCCCAATGGGAAACAGCTTGCCGGAAGAGAGCTGTTTTGTTTCTCTCTCTCCTCTGGGTTTCAGAAGGCTTCTGTCCATTGTGGCTGGGAGGTCTCATGGCTGGAGAGTGGAGCAGAGCTGGTCACATCAAGGTGGCCTGGGAGGCAGAGAGTGTGCCAACAGCCAGGGGCTGGCTATAATCTTCAAAGGCACAGAGACCTAGTTCCCAGCCAGGCCACCTCCTAGGAAGACCAGCCTCAGATAGCACTCACACCGAGTATCTGGGGCGAACTGCAGATCCAAACTATGACAAACGGCATCTTTTGACTGTGACCCACTATCGTGTAGAATGAGGGTCATTTTAGCCTAGTTAGCTCACCATTTACACTCATCAGGCTATCTCTACCAATCCTTTATAATGAAACTTGTTTTTATTTGTTCTGTTAAACAGAACAAAAGATTGGTTAGAGCTTCTGCCCTGTTGAGCGCATGTCATTTCTATTGTATGTTGTTTTGCTTTGGGTTTTTTGTTTGTTTGTTTGAATGTTTTTAAAAGTTTTTCTATTGTATTCCCTACAAGCTCTCTCTCTCTCTCTCTCTCTCGCTCTCTCTCTCTCTCTGTGTGTGTGTGTGTGTGTCTGTGTGTGTGTGTGTATGTGTGTCTGTCTGTCTGCCTGCCTGCCTGCCTGCCTGCCTGCCTGCCTGCCT